CATCGGAGTAACGCAAGCGCAGACGGCCACGGGCTACCACTACCGGGGGTGAAGGGGGAGCAGCGTAGCGCCATTAACCGCCGGCGGGAGGGAGACTGCTCGGCCCCGCACCGAGGGCAGGGCCCGCGGAGGGCCCCACAGGGCTGTACCGTGCCGGTTGTGGTGCCCACGCAGCCCTGGGCTCTCACACCTGGCCCAAGAGAACACCGCTGTTAGCGGGGAACCTGCCTTACAGCGGGATCGGCGAGTTTATGCCCTTTATGGCAGGTCAGGCTGTCCCCGCCTCGTCCGTGGCGGGCTACTGGGAAAGAAAACCCACGAGACTCGCCTTCCACGACAGGTTCTTTCCAGCAATGGGCCAGAGAATGTCAGGAGTATCATGAAAGTGCCGAGGTGTCACTAACTCGGACGCCACATCTGGCACCCAAACGCGGGAAGAAGAACGGCGTCGGGGTAACTGCAAAGACAGTTCCCCGAAGAGTTTCAGAGGGCGTTGCTGTCAGAAATCGGCACTGTGGGGGAGGACGCGCAGAGAAGAGGTGACAGTTTGAGCCCACGATGTCAAAAGGAGTGGCAGGTGCAGAATGGCCCCCTGAGACAAGTGGCTGCAGAAGGCTGAGATGAGTTTCTCGTTGCTGGGCCCACGTTCGCAATTCTCACGGCACCAGGCAGGCGAATAGCGCCCTGCCGCAGCCCTGCTCCTCTGCCGAGGCTCAGGACACCAGCTCCGGCCTTCTCCGGAGGCAAAGGCACGAAGAGGCAGAGCTGCAGCTGCAGTACTGTGGGCACCCTGGGCTGTGCCAGGTGCTTTTAGCTAGTGCAGGTCATCAGCAAGTGCAGTCACCATCAAACTTCCTGGTTGGAACTGGCTCCAGATGAGCAAAACGGCTGAACAAATCACCAGCTAGTAAAAAAAAACCCAAACCAAAATAATGCAAAAACCAATGCCTCTATTTAGAAGACATTAATACACTTTTAAAATACGTTTCACCATCTAGATCTAATGGAAATACTTCTCAATGGGAATATTCTTTTAATTGGGGGAAAAAAATACTTCTGTGATTTTTAAAACAAGTTTCCACTTGACAAGTAAAAAAAGTGTTATGACTTCTCAAGGCCCTATACCTACCTTAACATGGAGGTGTGCTTTTACCCTAACCAGTAAATGTGACTGCCAGGTCTGCATCCACATTAAACCACAGCTGTGATACCAGAGAAAAACACCACCATTTTTGTACCCTCCACCATCAAGAACAACGTTGTGTTGTGTTTTTTAAATTGAAGGAAAAAACAACCCCAAGCCTTTAAGGATAAACATGTTGCTAACATGCAGTGGCATCCTGTGCAGTCAGAACAGTTAAGAGCTCTGTACGGGAAAGCATTTCAAATCATCGGCTTAACAAAGTTTCACTCGGTGTTTTGGGTTAGTTGTACGGATTGGTTTTGTGCAAGGACCAACGACATTAATAATCAACAGTCAGTGCATACCAGTAATAAGCAGCGCACAACACTTTACAGAAAAGACAATGCTGGGCCTACAGCACAATTGTCCGTTGTTCCCGGGCGATGCAGGAGCCTGCTCCGTTTCTACGGGGTACTCTGCAGCCCACAGTCCTAACGCCGTTCGCAAATTCTACCCGTGTCGTTTCTGTAATGAATCAGGCCATTTTATTTTCGCCGATGCAGTGGTTATGATCGTCTATGGCTGTCAGTGCAGGTACAAAGAGAGTGCGGGGTCGAAAAAAAGCAGGCTCTCAAGCAGTTTTAAAATGTAGTTTTAGAGTTGTAACTTAGCTGGTAAGAAAAGTCTCCTCCCTTGATGACAGTGCAGATTCTCTTCCACCTCTATACCGCAAGAAGCTATACTTGACACGATCGTTTCTCCACAGCGGACAACGCTGCGTACTGGTAGTTGGTATTAGGTCAGCTCTAACAGTTTATTCTCCAAGCTCACACATTAAAGAAAATCTACTAAGATGTCCTGATGAGTGGGGACCTTTCATCTTCAGTACTCTAAAAGAAAAAAAATCGCAACACGGCAAAGTTAAATGTGGCACATTCGAGGGCTTCCCTGGTGGGGAAGTTGGGTTGCCGAGACTCCAAACAGGAAAGGAAGAAGCTCTTGGCTCCTACTTCTAAGTACAATTTCCTGTCAGAGAACCAGCACGGCAAGAAAAAAGCGCCAGCGGGTGTATGGCAGCTTGGGCAGGACCTCGGGGTGCCTGTAGCACCTTACAGCTGGTGGAAGGCCATAGCCACCCTGGTGGGAAGGGGATCACAAGGAGAGCCGTAACTAGCTGAATTACTTTTGTTTGCGGGAAAAGCAACAAAAGTGTAGAGAAAACATGGAAATTAGGTGTCCCTTTGTCATTTTAATCCCTCTGTAGTGTTCAGGAACATCCAAGAGAGCTGGTATGAAGCTACAGGTGTAGGGTGAGGCGGGAATGCCTGGGATAGGGGCCTCAGGCAATGGGACAGTTTTGACTCTCTAGCTGAGCCTGCCAATAACACAGGCAGGCTCGAAAGCTCAAAGGAAAACTTAACCAGGCTCTCGTGCAAAGGAACCTGAAGTACAGTCCTGAGAGCATCTGCTCGTGACCGTTTCCTGGGTATCCAGAAAGAGAATCGAGTGTAAAGCTAAGAGAGCCAAAGATCAGCTGCTCAAAGCCACTGCTCGAGGAAAGGAGGCTGCAGACCTCACCGCCAGAGTACCGCCCCTGCTGCCACTACCATCACACCCCTAGTCTCACTGGAGAGGTGACGGTACTGGGACCCACTGGCCCAGATGGGTCCCACCGAGACAAAGCATACGCATGGTGAGGCTGGGTGCTCTGGAGGCAGTCGTCAGGGCACTTTCTCACATCATTTTAAGACTATTTAGGCAACACCATACAAGCAAGACCACACTAAGAGCACAGCAACTATAAGCAGCCTACTAGAGTACCCAGTCTGTTTCTCTAACCACAGTTTGTCTTGTCTGAACCCAACTGCCTTGGCTATTACGGTGAAATTTTGGCCTCAGCTTTCAACGTGACTAGCAGCCTTAATGCCAGCATGTCATTTGGTGACAGAGCTTTTCATACAGACGTACAAACTAGTACTGTCAGGATAAAACTTTCTGCATGATGTTGTCTGTAAAATTAATCTGTTCTTTGGTCATAAAGTTGCATTATGATTCGGAAAAATAATCAACTGGCACAACAAAATTGTTTCTACTGAGAACACTCTCAGATTGTCACTGACTAAATCTGTCCATTGAATATGGTGGACTTTTGTGCATCTTATCCTTCAGGGTCCTCTAGACAGGCTGATTTTTTTTTTACTACCGTTGGCAAGGGAATTAGGCACAGAAGACAGGACCTGCCTTACCATGTTTCTTATATTAGCTCCATTCCTTTGCTTTGGTGCATTTATTCTGAGTCTATTAAAACTTCCCTTCCCTAGAAAGGTCATTTTAAACAAAAACAACATATAAAAATGTTTATGTGCAGAAAGACACTGAACAGGTAAAATCAACCAGAAGAAAATCAAATGCAGGCAGATGTACAGTAAGCAAGGTCAAACTCAAATGCCACTTACCTCTTCACTCACTCCCCGGGACCTGCACACGAGCACAATAAACACAATCCCGAAAACAACTCCTAGAGTCATGATTACGAAGGGGATTCCAGTCACAACACTGGCTTCCAGCAGGATGTGCTTGAGTTTGCTGGCAGACGCTTCATCAATCAGAACACTCTGGAGCACAGAGAGATGAAGAGGGAACAAAAAAGATTTATTTCTGTTCTTCCTTAATAGACTGCTTTACTTTTGTGAAGGGTAGGGAAACAACACTCCCACAACTCTCCACCTCTGCTCCACTGCTGCTTGCTGTACTTTCCCTCTAAGAATTCTAAGCTCTCCTCACAAGGCCAGAGGGATCATCTAATCTGCATTCCAAAAGAAAGTAGTGATTTTTAACTCTCAGTTTAGGAATGGAATAATATAGGCCTGGAATAACGGTATATGTCATCAAAACATGTCCCCTAGAGTCCTCCCTGAATCCAATGGATTCAGTAAGCCAACTACAGCACAGGAATATTCACAAAAGACTGCTCAAAAAAAAGATGTAATCTTGTGAACTCCTGCCTCCTCATCTGCGCAGCCCTGGAAAAGGGGTCAAAAAATTGCTCAGAGCCAATACCTTTGAAATTAAAAGGACTTTCTGACTGAGAGTGTTTTGCAAGGCTGAACTTAATGCTACCATCAACAAGCAACAGGAGCATGTTAGTTAAGAAACAGTGACGGCTTCCTACCTATCACTGTACAAAACAAGAAAAACAGCATTTTCTTTTCTGGTTAGCTCAAAGACAGTATTTTTGCAAGCATAAACATACCACAATGCTGCAAAGAAATAAAAATATTTACCTCGTTTATATACATCACTGGGAAAATTAGTGTTCGGATGTTGCCTGTTTCACTGTGTAAAAAAAACAACAATTAAAAATCATGGTTTTGCAACTTTTCAACTTCAGGGTTCTGAAGACAGATTCTAATAGAACAATGAAGGAGGAAACTGTCCCTAAAAAGCCGCTGGGCTGTTCCTTTTTATTGTCAATTTTCACCTCCCTACCAGAGTAGAACTATCTCCATCTCCAAGATGGATAATAAATTCTGCTTTGGGAGCAACAGCATATTTTGGGACTTGGTGGGGAGAGAAAGAGAGGGATCTGTAAGGGGCTCATGAATAACTGACTGAATGACAG